GTTGTTTATATTTTGTGCAAGTGTTCATTTGGCTGTATTTGTTTTTTGATTACTGTGGGTGGGCCCTGCCCGCGGCTCTTGGTGCTGCGGAGCTGGCGGCTGCTGCGTTGGGGACCGCTGCACGCTGCTGTGTTTTGTGTCGATGGTGCGGCCTCAACATGCTGTCGAGGCGTCCCACGGGCTGCTTCTCTTCTTCCTTCTCTTCCTCGCCCTGCACTCTCCTCCTCCCCCTCTCCCCTGCGCGTGCCCCGTGCGCATGATGCCGCTGTTTGTTCTGCAATTCCGACCCGCGTGAGCGAGGACCGACGCCTTGACTACTGGCAGCTGACGCCCCCTCCCTCCCTCCGCCCATCCCCCCAGACGCACTTGACGGCCGGCGGTCGTGGTGCCGCGAGTCGCTGCAAGCGCAGGAACATGGCCCAAAAGAACGCGTCGGCGCCTCAGCCGTGCTTGTTTTGGCTTCTGTGCCCTTGTTTCAGTACTTGTATTGCGTTGTTGCCCTTTGTGTGTTTTTTTTGTTTGGCTTGTTGTTTTAGTTTGCGTCAGATGGGGTTCTGTTTTAACGAGTGCGAAGCTCGTGTTGTGGAGCTGCACACAAGCGAGGGAGTTATATCGGTGGAGCTGTACGACCGCGAGGCTCCTTCGCTCTCGGAGTCGTTTGTGCGCCTCGCTGAGAGCGGCCAGCTGGACGGGGCGAGGTTCGCGCGGATGGTGCCTGGCTTCGTTGTGGAGTGTGTGGTGGGCGAGCCGCGGGTGTACGGCGAGTTGTTGGAGGCGGGGCCGGAGAACGGCTTGCACCATGTTGGGGCGGGCATTGTCAGTTGCCCTCGCTCGGCGCTGGGCGGTGTTGCCGGGGCACGGTTCCTCGTGACGCTCGGGCCGCAGCCGGCGCTGGACAAGGCGTGCACTGTGTTCGGCCGAGTGTACAGCGGGATGCGCATAGTTGAGGGCATGGGCCGGCTCCGTTTTGCAAGCGATACTTTTCGCCTGTATTCCCCGGTGGAGGTGCTGCACTGTGCGGTGCGGCTGTTGCCGAAGCAGCCGCGGCCACCAGAGCCGCGTGCCGTCCCCCTGGCCGGCGAGGCGCATGTGCGACGGCGCCGTGAGGGGCGCGCGGGCGTGTTAGAGGGACTGGAGCGCTGACAACAGCCGGTGAGGGGCGGAGTGGCGTTGCTTTGCGTCGTGTGTGTGTGTGTGTGCGTGGTCCGTCATGTGGGGCGCGTTGGACTCCCTCTTTCACGGTCGCTATTACCCGCTTTTTGGTGTACACTGCTGCTGCCGTTGCTCTTCTCCCTCCCCGCCCCTGAGCGTAGTGGTCTACTCGGCGCTAGGCTTTCTTTTTGCGTGTGTGTGTGTGTGTTCCCCCTCCCCCTTTGGGACTTGCCGTTGGATTCCTCGCGGTTGCTCCTCGTTGGCCTCGCCGCCGCATTGCTGACGGCAAATGTCGGGGACGGTCTCGTGCGCGCCTGAGGCGTTTCTCTTTGGCATGCTGGGCGCCGCGGGGTCGCTGGCGTTCGCCAACGTCGGTGCTGCCTTCGGAACGGCGAAGGCCGGTGTGGCGGTGGCGCATCTCGGCATTGTGCAGCCCGGCCGCGTGATGCGGGGCATCGTGCCTGTGGTGATGGCGGGTATTTTGGGCATCTACGGCCTCATCGTCTCCGTCATCATCAGCAACAACATGAAGACGACCGGATACATGCTGTTCTCGGGCTACATGCACCTTGGCGCGGGCCTGGCGGCGGGCATCGCATCCCTTGCCGCCGGCTACGCCATCGGCATCGTCGGTGACATCTGCTGCTACGCGTACGCCAAGACGGAGAAGATATTTGTGCCAATGATTCTGATGCTCATCTTTGCCGAGGCGCTTGGCCTCTACGGCCTCATCATCGCCCTGCTGATGAACAACCGCGCCACGGCGGTCGCCACGGCTTGTGTGTAGCCGTTGCCCGCTCGAGGAGGGCATCCCGATTGTCAATACGCGGCAGGGGCAGACCCACACCCGGCGGGGCCGCGCTGCCTGTGCGTGGCTGCGCCTGGGCGTGACGGGCGGCGCTGTGTTGTTGGTGTCCTCTCACGCTCCTCCTTTTGTGCTTCCTCGCGTGTCGCGGTGAGGCCTCTCCTCTTTGTCCCTCCGGCCCTCACCTTTGTCTGTTTGTTTTTGCGTTGTGCGTGTGGCTCTCCGCACGAAGGAAGGAAGGGAGGGGAGAGGAGGTGGTGGGGCTGCTGCGTGGTGTCGGTGGCCGGCGGGCACGAGCACCTCGGCCGGTTTTTGGGGCTCTCCGCCAGCATGTCCCGCACGCCCGCGGGCACGGCGCTGGCCCCCGCCGCGTCCGCCTCACATTCCGGCGCCCCCGACACGCGCGGGTGCGTCGAGCCACAGTCGACCCGGTGGCTTCGCTGGCGACCGACGGATGCGGCACGGCTTGCGCGCAGCGAGGCCCAAATGCTAGCTGGCCTCCGGTACCACCAGGAGTTTGTGGCGGGGCTCAACACGATATCCAATGTAGAGTTCGGGCGGGGCGCCGCCGCGGGGGGCGGGGGGCGGGAGGTCATGGTTCTGCTTCATGGCTTCGCCGGCGGGCTGGCGTGCTGGGCGCAGAATTGGGAGTTCTTCGCGGCCCACTACGAGTTGTACGCCGTCGACCTGCCGGGGTTTGGGAGAAGTGAGCGGCCGTGTGTGAAGGTGGACTCGCTGGAGGGCGCGATGCAGTTCATCTGCGGCTACCTGGAGCGCTGGTTGTGCGAGATGGGCGTTGGGCGTCCCGTCATTCTGCTGGGCCACTCCTTCGGTGGATTCGTGGCGGCACATTACGCCATGCGCCACGGGCCGAGCCGTGTGAAGTTGCTGGCGCTTGCCGAGCCGTGGGGCGTGAACGACGCCGACCCCGGGCGCATAGAGCGTGCGCCCGTGCACCACCGGCTTGCGCTGAAGTTCTTCTACGCGGCCAACCCCTTGTCGCTGCTGCGCGCCGTGGGGCCTGCGGGGCCGGCTTTTTTTAGGCTTGTGCGTCCGGACTTTGCGGACCGATGGCGCGGCTTCTTGGCGAACCCCAAAGTCTTCTACGAGTACACGTACCATTGCAACGCGCAGCTCCCCCCGCTTGGAGAGGCGCTTTTCAAGGCGTGCTGCCACGCCGACGTTGCTGCCAAGTCGCCTCTCGCGGCGGTGCTGCCGGGGGGGTTGTCGCGGGCAATCCCGCTGGTGGTGGTGTACGGCAGCCACACTTGGCTCAACGCCGAGTGCGGGTTTACGATGGTGGACAGGATGGCTGCGGGCGGGCATCGGGCGAGGGCGGACACGGTCATGAACGCCGGGCATCAGGTCTTCACCGACAACGTCGATGCGTTTGATGAGAAAATGTTGCAGCTGATACGTGACGTGTTGCGTGCGGAGGAGCCTCCCGCCCACCGTGGCGCCCGCC